GGGGGCTCCACATGCCCCCTTCCTTTCCCGTCAGACCCAGAGCAAATACACTCTTCTGGTTTGTGGAGCTCCCTGGGACACTCATCAACACTCTTACCCCAAATCAAGAGCAGCGGGTACAGGGGCTGGAAGAAGAAACATGTCCATCGATGGGGAGTGGTGACCAGGGAAAATGGTGCCATTTCTGTCCCTCAGCAACCAAAAGTGGTGAAAAATAGGGGACTGAGGCGGACAGACTGATGTAGACTGGGAAGATCACGGTAGCTGCACTGGGATTACCTCCACCACGTTGCACAAATGTCGCAAAGCCCCAGACAAACCCCACAGTTTTCCTCTACCATTTTGTTTCCAGCTGGCTGGGGTCACAGTTCCCACCTTACTGCCCACGCACCGGTAGGGAAAAGGGCCTGGCTGCCCCTGGAGGATCCTGCTGCTCTCCCCGAGGGCGGGGGCTCTTCGAGGATATCCCCGGATCGGCAGCGCTCGGCCGGGCGTGCGGAGCCAGGGTGGTGAGCACCATCTATTGTCCAAGCGGCGGAGGGGCTGGCTGGGATAACTCCTCTGTGCGAAGGAAACCGTGCTTTTCCTTGCCTGAATGACTCAGAAACGCTCTCCTAATAAATAATTTCTCTGCTTCGTAAAAATGCGTTCTCGAGGAACGCAAATGGACTGCGGGGGGCTGCGTGGTTATCAGCTGAGCTACTCATTTTAATGGGCATGTGGAAATCTCATTAAATACCTCATTAACAGCTCAGCCCGTGGAGCTGAGCTGAAGGGGAGAGCAAGACAGAGGTGCACTCTCAGGTGCCTCCTCGGAAGGATGTGATCACTGCTGGGGAGTGAAATCTGGGGAGGCCGTTTTGGAAGGGGATGTCACAAAGGAGTGCTCTGCATACCAGATCACTGAGGTTGTTATTCTGTTCCTTGCCCTGTTTCTTCCCAGCCCAGAATGAGCCCCAAAAGAAGACCAGACTGTGCTGAAAGCAGACAGTACCTGGCTCAGCTGTGGGCTGGCGTGGAAGCAGAGGGGAGATGGATGTAGTCGTGCGTAACCCCTTCCCCAGGGCCTTGGCTGCCTTTCCCTGGCCAGCCTGAGGAGGCCAAAGCAGCATCCTGAACTTGCAGTGCAAGAAATGAGTGCCCTGGGAACAGCTATGACATTAATAAAAAGAGCTTTGAGCAGTATTTACAGGGCTCTGTTTCCTGGACAAATGCATCTCAATGTCCCTTTCGGCATGAGAAACCCAGCTGCGCCAAGATCCCTCGCCAGGAACCACGCGGGGATCCCCTGAGGCCAGGGGAGTTTATTTGCAGTCACCAAGAAGAGAAACACGCTGTTGCTCGAGCCTGGCAAGGAGCTGTTCTGTCCAGGCTGCCCATCACAGGGAAGAAAAGAGCCCGTTTGTCCGTGTGAAATGGGCCGAGAAATCGGTAACCCCAGTGCCGAGCAGCCAGCTGGATCCACGGAGCACAGGCGAGTGTGGCGGTGGATCCGTGGTCCTGCAATCAGGGCCAGGGTTAACCCCCAGCCCACCAAGCAGGGGCGTGTCCCCTTCTCCCTGCTGGCTTCTGGTGGACCCAAAATGCTGGCTCAGCATCCCCACCCCATCATGCACCCAGAGGCCTCCTGTCTGCCACCACCTGACCTGCAGTACCATCGCCTTGGGTGAGCAGCCCCCCATGTACAGCCCAGCTGGGCTTCTACACGGCCTCGAAAAGCCACTGTCACCTCCTGTGGGCTGTTTCTGCCTGCACTGAACCCACACAGCTGGCCTTGGCCACTGCTGCTAGGTCTGCCTCTCCCTGCACCTAAGTTGCCTCCCTGCACTCCTGCAGGAAAATCCAATGGGAACATCACTGTCCCCAAGTTTGTAGCAGGAAAGGCTGCACTGCTTTGCTGTGCTGATGACTCTCATGCCTCCCTGCCATCACCATGGGGACGTGAATGGCCACAGCAGCCCAAAGCCAAGCTGCAAAAGGTGCACCCGCCAGCAAGGCAGATCCCACAGGAGCCAGGCTGATGGGGAAGGGGCTGAGCAGCCCCCCAAGGGCAGGGAGGACCAGGCTGACTTACTCCAGCCTGCCACAGGAGCTGGAGTATGCTCCTGTACTCCATTAATAATTAGCCACTAGAGGGAAGTACAAGGCTGTGCAGGGAACATTTTGGGCACACAACAATGTGATGCATGGGATCATTGGGAATTGCAGTTTGTGGTTTGGGGCCTCACGGGCAGCAGCACCTGCACTAAAGGCCATTTTACTGCTTTTCTTTTGGAGTTGGCCCCTCAGCACTCACCACTGTCTTGCACCCAAGTGCAGGTGCCCACATGGCAATGGCAGGGATGGGCACAGGGTCTGGCTGGGCACATGAGTGGACTTGGCTGGAGCTGACTGCAGTGCCCTGGGATGGAGCCAGCAGCGCCCTTGGCACGGAGGCTGCAGACCCTGGCATGGAGGCCGCAGCTCCTCCAGGGCACAGGGGCTCGGACAGCACCAGAATAGCCCAGAGCAGCCTGCCAGCCAGACTGCTGGACAGAACACACAGCCCTTGCCGTTTTTAGCAAAGTGGGGAATGTGTGTTGTTTCTGGGACATGCGGTATCCAGGGCCAGAGGAAAGACAAGGGAGCAGCCTGGTATCCCAGGGGGACAGTGAATCACAGCACAGCAAGGGACAGATCCCACTGGAGGAGCCCCAGCTCCAGGGCTGGAGAGGGGAACAGCCATTTCGGGAAGGGACAACCAGTGGGACAAAGGTTCCCATGGACTCTGCTCCACAGTGGTGCTGGCTTGACCCTGCTGGGGGAGGACAGCAGTGGGCAGCTGAGGGCTCCTGCCCCAGCTCCATGGTATGGATCCTGCCAACAGGGCCAGGTTGGCCTGGGCAGCCACCCCAACCTCCTGCAACCAAAGCAGCTTTCTACCCCTCAAACAACACCAGCAGGGGTCTGGACTGTGCTGATGGAGCACAGCTGATAATGAGCCTCCTGCTCTATTTTATTCCTGTTTATAGAGGGCTAAATATAACTTGGTGTTTATTTTTAATTCTTAGTGAAAGCTGTGAGCCACAATCCATCAAGTCAGTTTTGTGGTTTTTTATAGGGACTGGTTTGCATCAGATCCAAGAGGGAAAGCATATCCAGGCCCAGCACAAGGTCTGTAGCCAAGTGAGGTTCGGGCAGTCCCACCCACACCAGAGAGCTGGTGACCACAGGGCAAAGCAGAGAAGGTATTGCAGGACTTGTGGGCAGCAGCTTTCTCTGTGCCAAAACACCCCCAGTTCCCACCAGAGCTGCTGCCACTGGGCAGTGCCCACGGCTGTGGGCACTGCTGGGTCAGCCCACATTTGGTGGCAGGTATTGTTTGTCACCAGACGGAGCCAAAGGCATTTTAAATGTTTTCCTATCACACAGCCAGAAGCAGCTCCCTGGATTTTACAGTATTTCCCTCTGCAGTGGGAACAGAAGCCAGCATCAATCTGCACACCAAGTGTGCCAGGGCTTGTACCAGCTGGTTGTACCTCCAGAGATAAACTTCCACCCCTCTTCTGGGAGCCAGGGATAATGTTGGAAAGCTGTTTGATGGACCACTGAAAGGTTTATCACTGTGGTATTTCCCTGGCAACTGAACTGAAAGACCATGAGGTAATTTCAGCACTACCTGTTAAACACGTCAGGTCCAATTCTGAAGTCCTGGCAGCCTTAACAAATACCCCAGTCATACATTTTGGGGTTCAAGCCGAGAGTTGGCAGGGAAACCAGCCTTGTCTTGCTCACACTCAGGGCAGGGGCAGCTGAAAAGCTCTTGCTCTACTGCGAAAACAGTTCCGATTTCATTTCCATGATCCTGCTCCTCCATTCATTGCTCAAGAGACTTTGACGGAAACATTGGCATCCCACACACACAAATGCACACATAGGTCTAGAAAAGCACATTTATAACAAAACAGATCCAACTAGATCACTGTCACATTTTACTGGGGTTGCATGAGAAATTGTTTTAAGTCTCAACATTGCATGGAAGAACCATCATCCCACAAAAAATAAAAATATTCTTCAAATGCTGGACTAAGGGCTTGACCAAAACAAGGCAGGCAGTATGCAGTTGTCCTGTGGCTCCTCCCTTTGGCAATTTCTTCTCAGGCTTAAAAATTCACCCCTGCTGACTCCTAGCTCTATATATGAGATATTATTTATATGCTCACGTATACTTTAGTCCCTCCAGATAGCCAGGTTTTTAAAACAGCTCAGCAATTCAGAATACTGCCCTGCTGACACTCACTGGGATGAGTTTCCCCTCTCACAAGGACACCATCTCCCCATGCCCAGTTGCAACAACACACATCACACAGTGTTTTCCTGGTCTGGTTTTGGGAGCCCAAGTTTGCTAAAGTCCCACCTGGCTAACCTTGAACTGCCCTGGAGCAGCTGCAGGGGAAAGCCTCTGCTCACCGAGGTTCAACCTCCATTTTGGAAGGAGACAGAGACAGAGAAAAAGAGATCTTGTTTTCAACTAAAGCCAAAAAGCAGGATAGGTGGAAAGCCATCCATAGGGCTGAAATTACTCCAGTTATTTACAATAGCTCTGGCACATATCTGGCTGCCTTAGGAAACCCTCCCCCAGTGCTGCCTTTCCCCTCAGGCAGCTTTGCCCTTCTTTGGTGTTGCAGCAGCCTCCAAGCAGGAATGGTTCTTGCAGTTAAAAAGAGAAGCCAAAGCTTGTCAAACAATAATTCACTTACTAACACATTGAAAAACCCCTGTGAGTGCATTACTGCAAGGCTGGAGACACTTTCTCCATCAGCTGCTAACGACATCTCCAATTTGCAGAGAGCAGCAGCCTGTGCTGGACAAACCCAGCCCTGGTCAAGCAGGCGTTCCTGGGCACACCGGCTGTCCAGCAAACCACTGCTCCTCCAGGTCCTATCCGATTCCCAAACCCATCTTTTCCCTCTAAGGCTATCCCAGTGGATTATTTAAGTGGCCCACAACTTAAGTGATGTCCAAGAAAAATTAATGGGAAAACCCAGGTTTTAGATCAGCATGCGCAATGGCAAATGGAAAATGCAGTGTCTGAGCTGCCCTTAGGGATAGCGATGCGATAGCCAGACCTCATTCTCTAAGGAGACTGCAGCAAGCCAACTAGGACTCAAGGCAGCTGGTAAGAATGATTATTTTTTTTCCCCTCTTATTAGGTCCAGGATTTTCTCTTCTTTGGGGCTGAATAAGACAGACAGACTTTTCTGTTCTTAAGAAGTTTCCTTTCTTAGGGTTATTCTCAGAATAGCCAGAGAGTATTTTAAACCAAGAATAGCTGATCTCCGTTCGATTCATACTCCCCGTTTTGGAAGCACTATTTAGAGAACAAAACTCCTAAATTAAAAAGTAGTCAGGAACAACAGTGAAAAACCAGATGGCTGTAACAGCAAGTACTGCATGGGCATCTTTCAATTCACCTCTTTCCTCAAAGACTCCAGGGAAGAATGGGTTTGCCCCAGATCTCTCCAAGTTGTATCAATTCCTCACCAGAAACCTGCACTACCCAGATTTAAATCACCACTGGAAAATCAGCAAAATCTATGCTATAAGTAATCACAGAAAGAAAAAAGCTTGACAGTCAAAGCCCTGGTTAATACCCTTTGAGGAAAATACTGTAGTGGGAAAACAGATGGATTTTTGGTTCTATTTTGCACAGAAAGATGTGGATTATTTGAATATAAAATATTTATATAGTGTTATCTAAAGTTTAAATTCTGAATCATGATCTGAATCATTATATAAGCACTTAGGAATGGCATTGTTCTTATGGATGATACTCTGGTTTCTGCTGATAAATGAATAAGCTTCATATAACGTATATGAGCTTTTGATGTCGCAGCTGCCAAGGGAATAACTGAAAGCCACCAAGAGTACTGAGTTCATCTATTCCTTGTCCAAAAGGTACCACTGACATTCAAATACAGCAGATTATTTCATGTTACACTAGTGAGCATCAGATGGAAAACCAAAAAAGAAATGGGAAAGACAAAGCAAAGGGATGTCACACCTAAACCAGAGTTTGAACTAAGAGCTCACAGACACAGCTTGACTTTCCCTTTTTAAGATATACTTATGCCAGAGAACTACTCGGCTTCTCAAACAAGCAAACCACCTGTGCTTGAGTCAAACTGTAGCATTAGAAGTCAGTTCTGTCCTTCTATCTGAAGCAAGTTGGCTGGGCAGCTGCCAGAAGAGCTCCCTGTAGCCCTGCTTTGGGCTCCTCAAACCTGCACTGCTTGTGACTTTACAGGAGGGGTTTATTTGGCAGCAGCAGAAGACCTGGCTCGGGCACGCTGCTAAAACTGTAATGTATTTGGGTTCTAGGCAGCTTACAAGAAAGCAGAACTAACACCCCATCGCCCAAGAAACACAATTTTGAGGCAGATTTTTCTGGGTCTCTGCCATGTTTTAATGCAGTTGGATGTCCCCAGACAGCCTGTGCTGATTTTGGAAGGGAACATGAGCCAGCAAGGACGTGGGAAGGGGGGACAAGGGTCCCTAAGCTTAGTGCCAAGCACTGGGGCATGGCAAAGGGGCCTTGCTTGCCAAACCAAGCCTCTTCCAGGACTTATAGACATCTGTTTCCCTGGTCCATCCTGGTTCATGGACAATCAGTACATCCTTTGCTATGAAGGGGCATTTTGGTTCCCAAAGTGCAGGGACACAGGAACACTGCCTAAGGCTCAGGCTGTGGATGCTGAACCCCACAGCACCCTCAGCCCCAAAGCTGCCCCTGAGCCAGGGCGCTGGCCCCATCACAGGGTGTTGTATGGCTGCTGGATTGCTGGAGCCTGGCTGGGGTTTGGGAGTTCCCTGACTTTCGGCATTGCCCACCAAAGTAATTAAACACAGCTTTGAAGTGTTCTTCAAGGCCCCCTCAAAATCCTGCAAAAAACTGAAATCACAGGAACCTCTTTGTTACTGTTGTAGTTTAACCCCAGCTGGCAACTGAGCTCCACACAGCTGTTCACACCCCGTCCACAGCAGGGTGGGGGAGAGAGAATTGCAGTGGTAAAAGTCAGAACACTCATGGGTTGAGATAAGAACAATAATTGAAAGAAAATAGTAACAATAACAATAATAAATTGTAATGAAAGAGAAAATAACAAAGAGAGAGAAATAAAACCCAAGAAAGACAAGTACTGCAAATGAAAGCAGTTGCTCACCACCAACCAACCGATGCCTGGACAGTCCCTGAGCAGCAGCCCCAGGCCAACCTTATCCCTGGTTTGCAGCTGAGCATATGAAGATGCCATAAGGTATGGTATGATATGATATGGTATGGAACATCCCTCAGGTCAATTGGGGTCAGCTGCCCCAGCTGTGTCCCCTGCCAACTCTTTGTGCACCCCCAGACTTCTTGCTGGTGGGGTGGGGTGAGGAGCAGAAAAAGCCTTGACACGGTACAAGTGCTGCTCAGCAATAACAAAAACGTCCCTGTATCAACCCTGTGTTCAGCACAAATCCAAAACACAGCCCATACTAGCTACTACAAAGAAAATTAACTCTACCCCAGCTGAAACCAGCACATTTCTTTAGCTTTCTTTGAAGCAATTAACACAAGAGCTAAGAACACATTATTTAAACATATGACATTTAAATAGCTTGCCTAGGAAAAATCAACCCTGGAAAGGAATTGCTCCAAGATATTATTGTTATTGGAAATTACAGAGCTAAGGGACTCTAATAGCCATGGTGTTCCTCACTTTTCATTGCCTATTATGCTACTTAAAATGCTCCTAACAGGATACCTTTACTGTTCCAAAGGGAACTGGAGAGCAGTTTCACGCAACAGTGGTAATTTTAAAATAGCTGTGTCCTAAAAGCCTAACCCAAAGCCCACCAGGGTCCTGCTGATTTCTGGGAGCTGGGCTGGCCGTAGGGTGTCACCATTGATCTGGTTTTGGGCAGCCACACTAAATTGCTCTGACCAGCAACTAGATTAAAGAGAAATAAAACACTACAGCGTCTAAATACTACACACATTGTCTTGCACTAATCAAAATACTTAATTCGGATGGAAAACAAGCCAGAATCACAATTTCATATGGTGGCTCAGAGGAGCTGGAAAGCCTGGCTGTGCTTTCTGTTCACATTAGGTAGTCGCAGGTCAGCAGGCTGTACATGCAGTGACAAACCACCTGCCTGGATACAAGGCTTTAGAGGGTTTAGGACAGGCTCTGCCAGACCTGTACCTTCCATCAGCTGCTCGCTCACCCAGGCCAACCTTACTCCTAGTTTATAGCAGGAGTCAGCAAATATCTTGGCTAATTGGGCAGAGATCAGCCACAGATACTCTGGCATCTACCATGCTCGGTCCTGAAACATCTGTGCCTGTGCAAAGAGCCCGTGAGTGCTGGAGGAGTAGCTGGTGTTTGCTCCTCTCCACACTGCATGTGCTCCCACAGGCCCATCCCAGCTTGGCTCATGGAGCTCACACCCGCACCACAGTGGATGCAGAGGGGCCCTTGGGGTGAACAGAACTGCTTTCCTTCAGATGTCCTGACTCCAGCTTTAGTCTTCTCCCTCCTGAATAAGGGAGAGTCACAGGTTTTGTTCACTTTTTTCCCCCCTATTAATCTTTAAAGTTAACGAAGTGACTGCCTGCATCAGGAACCAAGGATGAGGGGCCCCGCAGGCGTCCTGCTGTGCTTGTTGCTGCTGGCGGCCCCCCACTGCACAGAGGTGGCTGCCCAGGATGACGAGCCTGACCCCAAAATGCCATGCGCCAAGTGGATGGGAGGAGCACCTGGCTACCCTGGCCACAACGGGCTCCCTGGTCGGGATGGGAAAGACGGAAAAGATGGACTAAAGGGAGAAAAAGGAGATGCAGGTTGGTGAGAAACAAGTAGTACGTCGGTGCTGCAGTCCATGGGCAGCCCCAGTCCCAACAGGTTTTATGTGTGGCGGGTCCATGCCTGACCTTTGTCCAGATGCCTTTTGAGTACCTCCTGGGATGGAGATTCATAACCCAAGTCAAGGAGTTTGTGTGGTGGCTGTTTCCCCAATTAATGATATTTTTCCAGACATGCTGCCCTCAGCAGCTCTGCACATAGCTGTGGGGAGGAGGGTGGAGGAGGGGGAGGGTGGCAAGCAGGCTTTCACTCACTGACTCAGCTCCTGGGGGCTGTTGAGGTCGTTGAGCCTTTCCTCACCTCTGTGCTGCAGAGCAGATCCCCATGTCCCAGCCCCCTCTGTGTTTTGGGACGGTGGGTTGCAGCTGCCAACAGTGCAAACACAACTCCCAATCCCCACTCTGTCCCTCAGGTGCACCGGGTCCCACAGGTGTGCCAGGCGCGATAGGACCCCCAGGGTTGACGGGACGTCCTGGAGCTCCCGGATCCATGGGGATGAAGGGAGAGAAGGGTGAAGGTGCTTTTGTCCACCGCTCTGCCTTCAGTGTAGGGCTGACGGAGCGCCCCCCTGCCCCCAACATCCCCATCCGCTTCAGCAAGATCTTCTACAACGAGCAGGGCCACTACGATGCCAGCACCGGCAAGTTCCTCTGCAATGTCCCTGGCACCTACTACTTCGCCTACCACCTCACGGTCTACCTGGCAGATGTCAAGGTCAGCCTCTACAAGAAGGGCAAGGCCGTGATCATCACCTATGACCAGTTCCAGAACAACAACGTTGACCAAGCGAGTGGCTCTGTCTTGCTGCACCTCAGCTCTGGGGATGAGGTCTGGCTTCAGGTGTATGGGAACGGGAACAACAACGGGGTCTACGCTGACAACGTCAATGATTCCACGTTCATGGGCTTCCTCCTGTACCCCGACATGGGTGACTATTAATGTAGGGGGTGCTGCACAAAAATGGGTGAAGTGGCTTAAACCCCAGACGGCGTCCTGGGGCACTGGCACTATAGCTATAATGTATTTACCATGAAATTGCCTTTTGCAGGGGCAATGATTGCCAAGGGTGGACCCCATCTCCCGTGAAATCAGGGAGATTGTATGAGTACTTCCATGGGACCAAGGGCTCGCTCCTACCTCTGCTCTTGGTCTCCTTGTGGAAAGCTCAGCCCGAAGTCAGACGCCTCTCCTGTCATATAATGAAAAAGTAACTCTAAATGTGACTTAATCTTTTTTTTTTTTTTTTAAATTTAAAGTGAGAAGAGAAAAATTGATTAAATATAACATTTTAAATTTCCCTTTTTTTTTAACCACCTAAATCCATCTAAAGTAATGGCAGATATTTTAGCCAGCGTTTTAAAAACTGACTAAAAGAAGAGGAAGAAAACTATTCAAAAAATCAGAGTGCTTGTTTTCATTTGGAACAGACGGCTCCATTTTTTCCATCATAACTCCCTGTATTATTAGGCCCTTTGACTTCCACCCATGGTTTATTGTCTCTCTTCTTTAGCCTAGATCTTTGAATATATTCAGATTATTAACTTCCATTTATTTTACTCCTTTGATTTTCCTTTTATGTTTACCTCTATCATTATCTCTAATGCAGACAGCAGGCTGGTTTAGGGCAGGAATCTTGTGATTTATCTGAGAAGCCTTATGAACACGGTGAGGCCACACAAAAGCAGCCCATTGACCACATGGCTTTGGGGTCCCAAGGCAATCACAGACATGTTGGCCACACAGATCCTGTCCCATCTACCCTCTGAATATCTCCTGAGTGCACTCAGAAGTTGAGATCAATCAACTGTGTTCCTACTTTTCCATGATCTAAGTGTGCCATAACCAGTGGTTTGCACAGAGCTTCAGGTGGTGGTGAAGCCTCCATGTGGAGTGGGCTCCTGGATGAAACCCCAGGACCTGCCCCAGCTCTGGGCAAGCTTACCTTAACAGCAGAAGACTATTAAGGCTGGAATTAGTAGCAATCCCATTCAACTGCTCTCCCAGGAGCTTGCCTGACTATTATCTGAAAGAGGATTTGATGGTTTCTCAGATACATTCAAAGCAGACTCCTACTGCCAAGCTTCAGAACAAGTAACACTGATCTGAGGTAATGCATTATTACAAGCACAAAACAGCATCAAAAGCTTCAGCTGAAATTATTTCCAACAGCAGCATTTTCCACACTCCAGTGAATTACCACACTGCAAATAAAAAATAAAAAAACTTTCTAAATGACAACGTTCCCACATTTTTGTGTGTGTCGTTGGGAAGGACTTGAAGAAAGGGATACACTCCTGGCCTCACTAGGCAGCCCACGAAAATATATTTGTTTTCCAGCAAGGTGAGGGCACCCTGGGCTGGCACACACATGGACACCCCCCTTTTTCTTTCCCAAGAAATGCTCCACACTAACTTTCATCAAGGCTTCAGCATCTCACCACCTTACACTGTATTGTCTCCTTTTTGGATAAGATGAGCTCTGGTTTTCAGACTGTTTCCCCAAACCCAATGTGCCTGAATCCACCCTGAGTGGCCATCCAGAGCATGGGCCTCAGCTGGCCCCAGAAGCTCCAAGCACATTAGATTTAGCAAGGGTGAAACTGCTGCTCTGTCTGGCCATGCTGAATTCAGAGAGCGGGGAAAAACACTGCTCCTATTGTGGGAATTAATGGGAAGGGAACAGGGCAAAGGGAAAAAAATAAACTCAAAAATAATAATCCATAAACAAAAGGAGATTTAAAAATGCAGCATTTGCTGGGTCAAATGGCATAAGAAGCCATTGAAAGGAGCACGTCAGAGCTTTTACTCTATTTTCAAACATTTTCAGATGGATCTGTAGAAGGCAGGGAAAATTGAAATAGGCAGAGTACTAAGAGACATTTGGGATAAACACTAGGAGGCAATACTAATTTAAAGACTACTTCCCAAGGAGGAGCCAAAACAAATTACTCCTTTCTTTGCTGCCACGCAGTAGGAGTAAAGATGGCAACAGCTTTATCCTGTACAGCAGAACTCAGAGGCTGAGACCTTGGGGGAAGTTTTAAAGAAAGCCATTAAGGCACCACTGCTCTGTGTACTGACTGTTCCCCTTCTCACAAATGCTGAACTGCAGCTTCACCAAGACACTCACTCCAGGGTGGGAGTGCCAAAACCACCTTCTTCCCAGCTCCAACAGGGATGCTCCTTCATTGCTCATGCACATCCCACCCAAGCACCTCAACACCCAGCCCACAGCCAGAGCAGCCCAGGCAGCAGGCTGTGAACAAGACAAGCCTCAGCTGCATGGAAACAGGGGTCAAAGTCCTCCCTTTTGGGTTTGGAACTGGTTTATGAAGTCTTTCACCTCAAATCTCTGTAATATTCTTGCTCAGATGAGACACACACCTTCCTAGCAAGCACGAAATCCCAGTTTAAGCCTCCACCCACCTAGAAAACCAGTTTGCATCCCAGGAGCAGCAATCAGCCCCCTCCCAGCTCCTCTCTAAGGGAAATGCTCCCAGCATAGGCTCAGCCCACCAGCAAAGCAAGCCCAGTCACAGGGCAGGGCACACAGAGAAGGACCTCGTCCTCAGCAAACACATCTGTGCCCCTCTGCAGGCAGGGTCAAGGCCTGAAGCTGCCCTCAGCACCACTGTTCTGCCTCCAGAGGCTGCCCAACCCCTGCATGGGGGTCTCATCCAGCCAAAATGTGCTGGCAAGCTGCAGGAGCAGCAGCTGAGCATGGCCAGCAATTACCCCCCCCAGGAGCCGCCAAATTCCTGCATGTGGGATGGGTATCCAACCTCCACCTCCCCAGCTCTGCTGTGTCAGGGGCACACGGCCAGGCTGACTGTGGGCAGGGAGCTGCAGGCCACCACACCAGCTTTGTGCTGCTTTTAGGGGAGAGCTGTAAATAGGGTTTGGAAGGGTAATGAGGTCCTGGGGGATGAGCTTAGGGGAGTTCCTAATGAATCCAGCCTTTTTCCATTACAGAGTTGGTGTGGTTTTACTCTCTGTGTTTCATAAACCCGTGGGAGGGGAAAACCTGGCCAACACAGGCACATCTCCAAGGCCTGGGCTTGGCTCCCAAGGATCACACAATTGTTTAACACACAATTATCTTGTAACAAAAGAGCCAAGAATGACGCTGACATGATGAGAGGGCACAGAATCACCTGCCCTCCAACAAATTTAAATGTTTTGGTTTGTGTTTTCTTAATCAATCCTGACAGTAGATGCCTAGTACGAAGTTATGGCTTACTATTTACTGCCTCTTTAGCTGTGGCAGGTTTAAATGGATGTTTTTCCCTTTAGAAGATAATGTACTCTTACAGGCAGAAAGCAAGAACACTCCCCAATGAAAGATTTAAGTCACTGCATTAACACTTAGGGAGAAATAACATGGAAAGCTGGAGGCAGCTGGAGAGACTGGCCAATCTCATCCAGCAGGGAAACCATCTGTAAAAGCATCCATAGCACTTTCAAACACAATTATAGGCCGGTCCTAATTGTGCCTCAACTCCATGTAATCACTTGTGCCAGTAATTAATTGGAATACAAATAGCAGCTGCACTAAACCATGAAGAGCTACAAGAAAAAGATAAATTGCTTGCAAGACTTGTATTTGTGAAGCATAAACTCACTAGAAGCTTTTTGTCATGGAAGCAGGCAGAGGGATTAGGATAAAGTCCTACATTTAGCTAATCAGCCATTAAACTTCCATGCAGGAAATTCCATCAGATTTAAAGCCTGCCCTTTGAAATGCTCTGAGGGAAGCATTCATGAGCATCCCCAGACTGCCACATGTTTCTCTGCGATGTGTACTAGCTGTAAGTACCTGATAATTGTACAGTCCCATGTCACTGAGTTTCTTCATCAAACCCACCCTCAGCTCATCCTTAGACTCATCCCAGAAGATCAGCCCAACATAACACCATTGCTCTTTGAGAACAGTGACCTTTCCTGCAGCTGCAGTTCGTTACTCTCCAGCCAGTCCAAGGGGAAGGAGAGGTTTATTCCCAATGAAATGGAAGCATTAAATATCAACACCCATTTCTTCCCACGCGGATTCCCACCCTCAAGGCAACCTGTGGGACCCCTCCCATAAAGCAGGACAGGTTTATGGAGAGGCATCAGGGAGGGAGGCAGGGAGGAGATCCCACTTAAAGCCCCTCTCTAAATTCCCTCCAGAGTCAGGCAGGGAAGGTCAGGGGGTATGAACGAAGATTATGTAAGACTTTTTTCATAAATAAGAAAGCAGCATTCACCAAAAATGTCCTGTTTGTGAAATTTAAAAGCTTTAAAAGACACTGCCCCTCTCTCCCTCTGCTCGAGAAAAAAGTTGTAATTTGGGTCAGGATGGTCATCCTGCTCTTGGCAAAGAAAAAATATAAAAGGTATATATATATAAAAAGAAAATAAATAAACCTGAAAGTAAAAGCATAGAGTCCTTGTGCTCAAAGTCCCCCCTGCTGCCAAGGACTGAGTTGCATTGTGCTAGTGCTTTTCCAAAATATCTCTGATGTGACACTGGCATTCCAGCCCCATCACTAACAGGGACTTGAGAGAACAGGGCTGCCCTGTCATCTGCCCAGCATGTTCTCATGTGCTGAACAACTGCACATTGAGAGCAGGAAGATGCCTGCCAGCTTCCCAACACCCTGGGGAAGCAGGAAGAGCTCCATTTATTCATCTAAATCAATTCCTTCTTTATCAAGAAAAATACCTTCCACTCCAATTATTGAAATAAAATATTAAAAGGAAAACTTTTAATGCCCTGGAAGTTAACAAAGCAGAAAGCTACCAAGGAAAACCCACTACTGCCACACTAGGTCTGAGCTTGCCTGTTCCTGCTCACATTAAGAGCAGCAGCAGTTGGCTCTATAACCTGAAAGCCAGCTCAGAAGAGGCACTGCAGAAATATTATGCAGAGGTGACAGCCAGTTTCCTTTAGCATGGCAACTTCCTCTCCCTCACAATGACTGGATTATTTTCAGCTCAAAACAGATCACACATTCTTATTTCCAAGGACTATACTGGGACAGTTTGCAGTTCCCTGCAAACAGAGCCTTGGCCTGGTGGGAGCATTGAAGGGAACAGGCTGACATTTAAGTGTTTTGAAGCTATTCCTTTTCATCTGTGATGCATCACTGGCTACATCCCTTCTAAGGCCTCTCAGCACTTGGGCCCTCATCCTGTCAAGTCTCAGAGAGAAGCTCAGCTTTTAGATTGCCAGCTGTCCCACTGAAGCCACTGGGACAATTCATAAATCTATTCACACTGGAGCCTTTCTTTGGCTATTGAAATACTGAGCAGGACCCAGCAGCTTATAAAGTAATACACATCAGTCTAAATGTGTGCAGACTGCTGCTTGTTTTCTCAGGAACATCTATTATGAGAGGTGTCAATCTCCACGGAAGGTACAGGAATCAAAGCTCGAGAAATTAATTGGCCAAGGCAGTCAAATGCCCTTTACATCAATTTTTATTAGAGATTTTGACATCTTGTGATTATTTCCTGACAACAGACTGATTGCCCCCAGACTAATTAGACCAAAAGTCTTGACAAATGATAACACAGAAACAATGTGAAGCTGAAGGGCATTTTGTTCTCATATAATACCATCCCAGAAGGGACCCAACAAATTACAGTTCCTGATGACAGTTTAACATATTGACAGTTCTCTTTAGAGAGATGAAGCTCAATACACACCCTCAGTCTCACTGTGGATGAGAGAAGTTCATACTCCAGACAGCTACAACGTCCATACCTTCAACACCATCCCAACCCTGCAGAATGTTCCTTTCAGAGCACTGCCAGCAGTACCATTTATGCTGCTTTTTAACATGGAATCGTTTCTGGAAAGCTCCACAAAAAGGTGTGTTAGCTGTACCTACCTTGAATGGAGAGCTGTATCCTACCAGGATGGGAACTCCGGCTGGTCCCACGAGCCTCTATCCAGTTCCATAAAGGTTCCATGTTTTGATCAAGCGAGATGACATTTCAAAACTAGAACTACTCACCATGAGCACCGTCAAACCCATGTTCACTGAGGTTTTGGACGTGTCCAAAAAGGGACCACCACCCATACTGAAGAGCAACTGTTCAACCTGAGTTTGTATGACAGAGTATACTCCTCCTGCTGTGATCAAACACAGGACTCAAGTTTCTTACAACTCAGGGAAAGCAAATGAAAAAACCCAAAAAGTATGTACAAAACATGGACAAGGAAATATTCCAAAACCAAGATGACCATCTTAAGGAATCAGCAAAAACAGCTAAAGAGCAGAGTTGCTTCTTAAATCTTATTTCATAATTTGCTCCTGCCTAGAACACAGCCTCTATTTACAGGCACCAGCTTTCAAAACCTGGCTTGGAGAAAGCAGAGCACCAAAGCCAGAGACAGCCCAAACACACTTGCCTCCCTCAAACTGTTTTACCTTGGTTTCAGTGAGAACAGCTGGAAATCCCAAGCTCTAAGCAAAGCAAGCACTAAAAAGGAAAGGAAGTTACCTGAGTGAGGCTGTTCCTTCAGGGACATGTGGCAGCATCAGATGCCAAGCAGAGTGTCAGAAATGCTGAATTAATGTTCACTGCATGATGAAAGACAGGCTGCTCAGAAATCCACAGGAGCACAATAAAAAGACATCTAAATCCTACTGGGTTTGTTGTGCTTATGTTTTTAAGCTTAGTGGTCAGCATAGATACTGAAAAATTTAACATTTCATTTTTTAAGGCAAACCAAAGAAGAAAAAAGTGAAAGAAGAACAAGAGGAAAGAGTTTCAGTTCAGGTGAAATTTAATTAGTGCCAGGTGTTTAAAGAAAGATCAGTCACAGTATCATTCTTGTGATCAATTTATGGAATACAGATTGCATTTGAGATTAGCTGGGATTACACTCTTGACTCTGAAATAATATGCTAAAAACTCACCTGTTCCTTTCATTCTAAGATTCCCTTTGGTCACTGAAGGGTGAAAATGAAACATTTCTAAAAATGTTCTGAAAACTTGTGTCAAAATGTGAACTAATATTTCAACAGCCTGATTCATATAGACTTAACCTCTGAGTACAAACAATTGCACTACCTGCTGCAGGAGAAAAGAATCCTAAATTATTTTCTTCTTATAAAGTACAATTTCAGGAATTGAATTATATTTTTAAATCCAAGCATTCCCGCAGTCCAGGGTCAGAAAATTTCTCTGCTTAAAATACCAAGGTGAAATTACTTTTGTTTTCTGTGCTTCCTAAATTAAAAATGAAGTATTGATGTCTTGAAATAGAAGACCACCTACACTCCTCTTAGTGTGACCAACAAATGAACTGGACCATTCAGAACGAGCAACCATCTTATCCCAAGATAATCCTTTACTGTGGACAAACAAAACTTTACTAGCCAGCAATGTGCCCTGCCATGTATCTTTTATATAATATTCAGAAATAACAGTGAATTATTTATTAAAAAAAAAAAAAATTCTAAGGGAGCTCAGAACGCAGCAATATCTACTTGCAAAGCATAATCCAGAGAGAGGGAGGGTTTTTTTAGTATTTTATTCAATAAGCACATCAGCAAATAAAATTTCCAGAGAAATCTACACACAGCTTCCTAGAAATAACATACCACAATTCCCTCCTTAGTTATCTTTAACCATCTGGTTTTCATATTCCCCAAGCAGCTTATACAGGCTTCCCCCCGCTTTGTGATTTTCCCATTTCAATAAATTTAATAAATAATGGACACCACAGGTGATCCTAGAGAAAAATCCACATCTCAGCGCTGCACAGCTGGACAACCAAGTTCACTGGATGTCATCATCATCAAAGAGATCTTCAAAATCTAGTCAGAAAAACAAGACAAAGTAAAATTACCCTCAAACGTTTCAACTGTTAGAAATGCACATACTCAAGTAGGGTGCTTCATTATTTGGATAAAAACCAGAAATAAAGGTGAATTAAGTGAATGAGAGTTACTGCACCATCAATTACTAGAAATGTAATCAGGGTGGAAAGAGGAAGCAAAGGCAGGCAAACCCATGTACACGTTCTCTGTCATGCACAATTAAACTGCCCTACCTGTACAATACAAGCTTTGCAATTAAACTCATGAAACTAAGCTTAAAAGAAGGAGCTTTTATAACACCATTAAGTAGCCATCACAGAGTGGATCAAGCAGGATTCCCCGAGTCCAGAACAAAGCAAGTACTAGCTTTAGGCATGCAGCAAGTCTCGGATGTAAATACTCCTGCAGGATCCTGCCTTTATGTCACAGCATCCAGGCACACCCCTAAATGCTACAGACTGACATCCTCAAGTGGGATTTGCTGTTCAAGTCCCTTCCTTAAAACCATTTCATTGCTTTGAAGGGGCTAATGACATTTCTCTCTCAAAACTCATTTCAGACTAGTGAAATGTGGCTGGCTACGTTTTGTCTTTGGAAAGTGCTCTTAACTACTCAGCTTTGTATCTTCTTTGTATATTGAGCATAAACCAACAACATCACTGAATACAACCCTTTATGCTTACAGAAGGCAGTATACGTGCCATACAATAAACTGAGGATTAATCCTCATTTAGAAGAGTTCTAAAATACCACTGAAATATAATACCATGACGGTAGAACTTTATGGAAATACCTACTCCTGAATATGCTGGTTCCAACAGAGAGTTAGGTCCTTCACCACTCTTAAAGACTATAACTGAAAATTCCTTTTTCTCCTGTGTTCTAGGTGTTGAGAACCATGAGAAACCTACTTTATTTTGGAATTAATACCAGTTTGTGATATTAACACCACTACAGCAACCAGATCTGATGTATCTGAAACTGCCTGTTGGAGTGTCTAAATGTACTTCTTGAGAAGCATAAAAAACCCTTAGTAACCAAGTGCAGTGGTCTATTTACTACCCCTAAGTGGCCTGATATGTAGCTCTTCTCTCTCAAAGCAGCTGTCTATACCTATATCTAGGCTGAAAGAATTGGGATTGTTCAGCCTGGAGAAGAGAAGGCTTCGGGGTGACCTAACTGGACCCCTCCTGTACCTGAAGGTTCTTGCCTATGGGAAAGAAGGAGAGAGACTATTTACAAGGGCTTGGAGTGACAGGACAAGGGGGAACGGCTTCAAACTGACAGAGAGTAGGTTTAGATTGGATATTAGGGAAAAGCTCTTCCCTGTGAGGGTGGTGAGGCCCTGGCACAGGTTGCCCAGAGAAGCTGTGGCTGCCCCATCCCTGGAGGTGTTCAAGGCCAGGTTGGACGAGGCTCTGAGCACTCTGATCCCCCTGGAAAGGGGGTTGGAACTTGATGATCTTTAAGGTTCTTTCCAACCCAAATCATCCTGTGATTCTACATGCATACAGCTCACTTACAAACGCAGAAACTGCATTAAAAACAGTGTTTTATTTTCCACGGGATACATGTGCACACATACTTTAAGAGATGAACGAACGACCTATAAACTAGTGATGCCCAGACACAATTTTTTAAAGTCCGTTCCACGTTTTTGTATGCATTCGCGCAGTTTAATATAAGCTATCTGTTATGCAAACAGACCTAGGTATTTTTCTTTGTGGTAATCAATATGCTAAAACTTCCATGAGAGGAAAACCACGCACCTGACCGCTCCCGCCTGCACTGTTGTACACTGGAGCGCTCTTTCACCGCTCACCAGAGATGTGGTTAGTGAGAAGTTTAGCGACCACCAGGCACCGAAGACACGAGATCAGCGAGAAGCGAGGTTTGTTGCGATACTCCTCAAACCCCCTCGCCCGGCCCCCGGCGGTGCTTACCATTGAAGAAGTCGGCGTGCACAGCCTTCTCGTTGGCGGCCAAGTCCATCAGCAGCCCCGTGCTTCCCCCTGCCTGGGAAAGCAGCCGCTGAGCGCCCCCGAGCCACGGCGGCACGGCGGCGGCTCCCCCCGCTCCCCCCTCACCTCGTCCAGGTCCACGTAGGGCCCGGCTCCCTCAGGGAACATCTCGTCCACCGCCGGCTTCATGGCGGCCCCTCCGCGCCGTCACTTCCGCGGCCAAGCAGGGGCCGCCCCTCATGGCCGCCCCGCGGGCGGGGCCGCCGCCGTTGCCATGGCGAGCAGGGAAATGGCGGCCGCCTCTCCGCTCAGCCCGCCCTTTCCCCGTGGCAGCGGCGGGCCGAGCTTGGAGGTGAGGGAATACTCTGCCGAGGGTGCAGTTGGAGCTTAGGGTGGTGGTTCTTCCAGCCCCAGGCGGGCCGGATAACTCCTGTGCACACACATAACTCCTAGACTCACAGAGAGTGGTTTCCCGAGTCAACGCTGTGAGCATCACGGGTAAAAAAAAAAACCCACAAAAAAACAAACCACAACTCCCAAAACTGTGCAGCAGAATGGAGAAGTTTATTGTTTTCACGCGAAAGGATAAATTATAAAAAAGGGACTGATTTAAAGCATGAAATGCTGCGTGTGACTGCAGTGATTATCACCTCGTGGCTGAGGCCAGCCCAGCTGCATTTGTTGGCACCCCTAAGTTGTACAAAAGAGACTAATTTAAAGCATGAAATTCTGTGCATGACTGTGGTATCACAAAGCGGCTGAGGGCAGCCAGGGGGCTTCAGTGGCAGATATTCACTCAAACGTGGCACCCCTAAATTGTAAAAATGAAACTAATTTAAAGCATGAAATGATGTGCGTGACTGCGATGAGCCTCACAAAGTGGCTGAGGGCAGCTCAGGTGTGTTCACTGGCAGCCAGGTATTCACCCAACCACTTGGGCACACATAACTTGTACAAAAGAGGCTAATTGAAAGCATGAAATTCTGTGTATATGGTATCACAAAGTGGCTGACAGCAGCCCAGGTGCATTTGCTGGCAGGTATTCGCTCTAACACCTTGGCACTCATCAACTGTAAAAAGGAAACTAATTTAAAGCATGAAATGCTGTGTGTGACTGCAGTGAGTATCACAAAGCAGCTGAGGGCAGCCTAGGTGTGTTTGCTGTTAGACAGGTGTTCACCCAAACACCTTGGCACTGGCTCTGGCAAAGCTGAGCGAGGCACTCAGTGCTCGTGGTCAGGCACGTGATAGCCAAGGTGGCTCCCAAAAGGGAACTGGGCAAAGAAAGCTCTGGCCATTTCATTGATCCTGTTGTAGGCTCCCAAGGTCCGGAAATATTCCACGTAGGACCAGAAATCGTTGGAGGAGAAGGGCCAGTATGGCAGGGCTACAGCTTCCTGGTACAGATCTTAAAAGAACAACCAAAATAAAGTGTTACAGATTACTGCAATACAAAGCATTTTCGTTGAAAGCTTGGGCCTGGGAGCCAGTACAGTGTGGGATTGTGGGTTCCCTAATGGGGCTCATGTGCTCCTCTGGCAGGAGAGGCAGGGTGAGCCTTCGACCTCACTCTGTAGAAGATGGAGCCAGTATTCCCTGCTCCAGGTGCACCAGGTGTGACAGAGTGGGACAAGATAGAGAGGAGGAATGAAGGCACACCATCCACATGTCAGGCCATTCAAGAGTTCATCCAGCTGATTAAATTTCTAGAAGGCTGCTGATTATTTAAAGGCAAAAAGCGGTTGCCATTGAAAGCCAATTTTTCCTCATTCCACACAATTTGCTTTGCCCAACATAAAAATACAAGGAATAAGGCACTGCAGTGTATACTCTGCCCCTGCAGCTGCCTCCTCTGCCCACAGAGCTCCCCAGGACTGAGGCCATATTTCCCTGGCACTGCCTGGGACTGCAGTTGTGCCTCTTCTCAGAGGGCTGTAGGAAACAGGCTAAGGGAAAGGAAAGGCTTTGCCTCCTGGACGACAGCTCTTGTATTTGTGCCTGCTCTAGGAATATCAGAAGATGTGATATGCTCAGTGAAACGGTTTCAAATTCAGCAGGAAAACAAAATCAGTTATGAAAATGCAGAAGCTGACCACCCTTGGGCCCAAATCTGGACAGAGACACATAAACAGATAAACACTAGCTGAGACCACATAGTTACAAATGTCTTTCTGTGCAGCAAAGCTAAATCCAGTATTTTGTTTTGATTGAAAGGCTATTTAGATAAGTGGGAGCCATTCCACTCAGCTTGGGACCAGGGTCTTTAATAGGAATTAAGAGCCTTCAACAATCCTGTTGTCAGAGCTTAATTTTATGGAGTAAAGTTTGCAGTGCACAGGCCCAGATGGCACATAACCAAACAAATGAACCAGTAAAATACTGTCTGCAGAGGAGAACTCACTGTTTACACCAGCTGACCTTAGATTCATTTTGCAGGCTGCTGCTTGGCCCAGTGTGAAAGAAAACCATAATTGCTGGTGATGAGAGCAACACAACACTGCCTGAAACAGGGTTCTATTTTCCCACTGACACAGGCTCATCTGACTGTCTCTGGAGGTCGCTGCAGAAGTATTTGCCATGCACAAACACAGGTGATACATTCAAAATATTTTAGAGCCATGAAGAAAGAGATCAGGGCATAGGGGGAAAGGTTTGAATTATAAATTCATCTTAGACTTTATTCTGTATTTCTACAGTTCATATCTGTTATAACACTCTCAGAATATTTGTATCAGTGCACTGGACATGCTGCTGGCTGTCCTGCTGGTTAACTGAGACGTACACCAGCAACAGCAGTACCTGATTAGTGTGGATACTTCTTTGCAATTTTGTTTTCAGACAGAATTCTGTCTGAAAAGGCAAAGAGAGGTTAACTGATAGAATCATCAGCAAGCCAGTGTAAACATCATTAGGGTGTTGAGGGTTTTTTATTTAATCAAAGGCAAACACTAATCCAATGGACTAATCACACAAAGCGACACGAACCACAGGGTAGCATTGCTAAGGGATTTAGTCCAACATTTCTGTAATTGGATTTGTGGCAATTTGTAAATTTTAAGCTTTTTGTTGTGGAGGTCAGTATCTCTTGCCAATAATCAGATGCAGATACAGTATTACTGTTCAGGACAGATGAAATCCTCAGATGTCTTATACACTTACAAATCTGGTGCTTTCCAGTTATGATTTTGTACAACAAAATTAGTAACTTAACCATAGTCCCTTTTCATTTTAAGACTTTTGAATATATTAGCTCTATTATTAGACACTAATATTTCAGCTTTTAATAAATTTTAAAGACATTCCTAGAAGTCCACTCTTCTTTCTCCACCAGAACTAGATGAAAGCACTTCCACAGCCCATTGAGGTTAGTAAGCATTCCTGCAAAAGTCACTGCTGGGCATCAGGTCTGGGAGTTACAAATTACCCTCCTAATTATTAGTGATACAAAGCAAATAAAAATACGTTAGGAATTACCATCTCCATCCCGGATGGATCGGGCATCTGTCAATAAAGAGGAAATGCATTAGTACCAGCTCAGGCCCAGAAAGACGTTCTGTTAATAAAAGGTTTCCTGTGTAGCCAGAAGATGACAAGGGTTAGAGTGAATGCCCATGTAGGACCCACTTTGGTGTAGCCAAAGGACTTTTGTTTCTTGAACAGTAGAGTAAGGAATTCCCCATCTGCAGTCACTCAGTGCTACAAACCAAATACTCATAACTAACGAGCCAGAAGAGTTGTGATTAATACACAAGTGATACCTGGTACTAAAGAGAGGATTACTGCATTCATAACAAAATATTTCTGGCTACTTGAAAACATAAACAGGATAAATTCAGCAGTAATCTTACCTGTTAGGATGTTCATCAGCATACAGAAGAAAAATAAGCCAGTAAATGTCATCTTTTCTGCAAGATAATGCTCGTGTTTCTGAAAAGTAATCTGTACAATTGAGTATTATTACAATAGATTCATAATTATGCAAAGTCTATTATTTCTTTCAATAGAAGAATACGTTCCAAAATAAAGTGTAATTATCAATTCAGGCATAACAAGATCCAATTACATTTTCTTACATCTTCTCAACAAAGTATTAAAAGTCCTGAAGCATTTACTGATATTTTGCCTCAAGGTGGCATAAATCCAAAAGGTCTCCTCTGAACTGACATGAAATTGTCTTTAGAGATGTTTTATTTTGTGGCTAATTTAATTTCACTTTAGAAATTACCTCTCTCTCTTCTTTTCTTCTTCTTGCAGTAGTAAAGATCTGTAGCTCTGAGTCCGCTTGGAAACTCCAAAAGGATTTCTATTGCTGTAAAACAGCAGTGCTCTGTAAGGAAGGGTGGGGGGAAAACGTCACTGACTTTCTGCACCAATCTGGTTTTGTTGCCTTCAGGTATTTTAACTGCTCACATTTGCATTACATTTCAGCACTGTCCATGGAAGAGACAGTGGGCATTTTCTGCAAGGAAATCAGAAGCAACTTTGGCAATGACACTTTTGCTTTCTGAAGGCAGAGGGAGAAAATCCAGAAGCTAATTCAGTGATTACTACCATTGCTGCCCTCTGGATTCTCTTTCTTTCTGTCCCTTTACAAAAAACAGATTTTCAGAAATCTTATTTGAGCAAATTACTAAAAGGAGATGGAGTTCCCTCTCCAGCTGAGTCACAAACCCCACAAACACTTGACACTGCTTTATATCCTTACTTGGGGTCCTTAAAACCCGGACCTTAAAGTGTAGACAGGCACCAAGTGCCCACTAAAATCAGTTGGGTTATGCTAAGTAAAGCAGGAGGTCCCCAGTGACCTCAGTCATGCTGGTGGTGCAGGTGCTCTCAGAGGGTCAATAAGGTGCATTGAGATGCATTTGCACATTAAACTGATTTCTTAGAAAGGTTCCTCTGCCAACACCAAGCAGTGCTTTGGGCTCCAGCCTGTGCAGGTTGCTGAACGGTTCCCATGCTCTCAGAAGCCTGGAGGGCAGACCGAGTTTGGAGAACACTCAGTTGACATGAACATCTTGACTGATTTTCTTTTATCATGGTACTCCTGATGGCAGCAGATGGGGGCAAGGGCCTAAGGTTTAGCAGAAAGTGTCCTGTGACTCATGGGGAAATGAGGGATTTTGATGCTCCTCAAAGACATGGCCCTGCAGGTCATCTTGCCAGGCAGCTATTTCCAGAGGGCTCCTCTGCTGAGAGGAGCTCCTGAAATGCCAGTGCAGAGCTCGCTGGGCCCGTTCCTGCTGCAAGATCTGATCTTACAGTTGCTGATCTGAGCTGTGCCCTCTCACTGGGCATTTTCAGTTGCCTTTTATGGTCTACAGAATCATTTCTCTGTCTCAGTTCTAGACACCTGCATTTCCCAACCTTGTGTGTCTGTCCTGACGTTGGTGCTCTTGCTCTGTCACATCCACCCATCTGCCACAGGAGTACAGGGCAAGTTTCCATACTCACAAAGTCCTAGAGGGGAGAGATCCAGGTGAGTGGCCTCACAGGATGCCCCAGCTTTGCTGGAGTTTGTTCCTATCTACACACAGAGTTAGGTAGTTCTGCCAGGAATTAATTCAGGATGTTCTGAGCAAGGGGGAAAAAGGGTGCTTTGTAGCACAGTAGGCTGTGCCAACTCTTGTGGAGGCTGAAAAGAAAAATATTATGAAAGCAGAATCTATTCCATCTTTGAAAGGCTTTAATCCTCTTGGTGAATATTTCCTAAGCCCGTAGGAAGGGTCCCTACATCAGCCAAGTTCTGCTGGCACCTTTGCCCTAACTCCCCTGGATTGTGGCACTTCCCTTGCTTAGTGGAGTCCTGTGGTGCAGATGCACCCAGGTTCACCCACCTGCACTGCCTGCAGATCCAAACTTTCCCTTTTGCTGCCTAGCCTGTATATAGTGTTCCAATCAACAATCAGAAGCACTGAGTTGTACTATCACACACACAAAACAGTCACCAGTTGTAATTGAATAATTACCATGAAGCTACCCAGGGTTTCCACTCTAAAGTAGGTCTAGGAAATTAAAAAAAGAAGGATGAGAATTAGCACTGAGAACAGCTGCATCAGGGGTACAACCTCTTCTATCAAGGCTTCTGTTGCTGTGTACATGACTACGTGTCCCAGTTGGGTCTGTTTGAAACACAGCATTGGACTAGAGAAGAACTGATGAGTTCTCATCAGCTGCTTGAAGGACTCTGCCTGGTGGGTTCAGTGTGCAAAGAGAGCACCGTGGCTCCTGGGGCCACCCAGAGAGCACACCGTGCAGTGACCTGCAGCATTTGTGACACACTGGTGTGGATCTCTGCTAAGAGTTGCTGCCCTGCAGCTCCTTCACTGCTGAGCAGTGACTGGAGATGCCATGGTGCCCACAAATGTGGCTCTGGCTCAGCAGCAGCCACATTTCAGTAGATACTACAGCACTTAAGAGGGCAGCTGCTGAGAGAGTCCAGTGTTTTAATTTCTACTCATTTTGGAAAGAAATTCACTCTTCTACGATTTTCCCTAAACACAGTTACTTTTGCTGGCAGCAGTTCTCCAGGTGCCACACTCTAATGTTTACATGAAGTTTCTTAGATAAGGGCATTGATTCATAAAAGCTTTGCTACATGATAGAGGGGGCTGATGATTTATCCTACCCACCCATCCCAGGAGGATCCATGATCAATATGTACTTTTTGTAGATAGCTCTCAAAGCCAGAAAAATACTACACAGAGCTGTGTCAGGGACATAAATCAATCAGAGCACAGAGGACGTGTCCTTGGGAATAAGGGAATGCAGTTTGGGCAGCACAGTTGTTTGTGTGACTCGATGGGGAGGACTCCTGGAGCTGCCAGCCTGCCTTCAGCTGGGCCCTTGCTAATGGGCTGTTTTACCCAGAGCCAACCCCTGTGGAGCAATTCAGCTCTCCTTGTCGATTAACTAGAAACAAAGATGAAGGAATACATAAAAACAAGCTTATGGATACCTTTGTTTTCATAATAGCTATATTAGACTGCTGTTGCACACACATAATCTATAATCATCCAGCCACTGAAAAAAAGGTGCATTGTTTAAAAAAAAACAAAACCAAACAATTTTTCCTATTTAATCAACAGGCAAAAGGACAAGCATGCAGAGTTCCGTAAGAACTTATAATAATAATAAAAATTAACGGCCAGTCTTCACGAGTGAAGATCCGGGGAAGGTCTTTACACCTTCCAGCCTGCGCATTGGATTTTTTTAGGTGAGACACAGTGTGCGCGGAACTGAGCCCACCCTTTAATCCTAAGGTTCATCTGCCGGGGCCAAGCGAGCTTGGACGGTGGCAGTGAGGTCCTTAGGACGTAGGTGGGTTGCCTTTAAGGGCTAACGAGCCCCACCTGCCCGGGAGTGGCCCTGACCGGGAATCGAACCCGGGTCTCGGCGGTGATAGCGCAGCGCCTTTACCCCTAGACCACCAGGGGCTCCTCGTAAGAACTTACTTAAAAACTAAATAGCATTTAGAGCTGCATCTGAAGTGCTTTGGCCTTGGGCTGAGCAGACAAAATGTCCTCTGCAGGGCTGCAACACTTTTGTTCAACCAGTGAGACTGATATATAGACTATCACTAGAAACACAAATTTTGATTACTTCTTCCAGCAATTTGGTCCAAATAATACAGGTCAAAAAGAGATTCCCACAACTATATGATTTGCTCAGACAGGTGTGAATTGCCCTAGATATTCCAGGCATTCACAGCTTCACTTTCTTTTCCTTTGAGCTTTGCTTCACTCTTCATGAATATAGAAGCTCCAACAATTTTTAATGATGCTGCATTACCCAGGATTGTAAAGCCCAGGGCAGACAAAGAGAATTCAGGCAAGGATCTCACAGTACCAAGCAGCTGAATAACAAAAGGGTCAACAAAAGTAAATGTAAAATTAAGTACCTGAGTGAATACCTCCAATTTTAAAGGCACGTGGTATCTGACCATTCCAACTCAGAAAATACAAGAGAGAGTTCTGACCAAGCAGCACTGCAGTTTTGCTCTGTGTCTTACTCTCCTCAGACATCCTCTGCTCCAGGTGAGCTCCCAGGCTGGCCCTGTGGTTGTTATTGCAGTCAGTTTTACTGAAAATATTACGTATTTCCAGTTCTTGTGAACAGACAGCTTTCCTGCCAGCAACTGGCTTGATCATCCTGATAATAGTAGCCCCTGGAAGCAATTGAAAGGAGACACAGCAAATGGATTTGGATAGTTACAAAGCAATTAACAAAACTGTCATGTGATTAGGCATAGAACAGTTTAAATGAACCACTTTGAGATGTATTAGAGCCAATTGTGAAGGTCAGAATTTACAAACCAGAGTTAAGGACTAGCTCTGTGCTTAAATAAATCACACTTAAGAGCCAACAAGAAAGTGTAGCTGTTCACATTGATTTCAACTTATCATTTTAACCTCTGTGTGAAGAAGGGTTATGTTTGTAGATGCAAATGAAGCTTCCAGGGGTTCACAGGTAGCAGGCAGTGCTGTATTGCAGCAGCAGGTAGTGAAAGCAAAAGAAGGAAGCAGTTCCACTGCCAGCAGGACTAGTGCAGCTTGTCTCCCAATGAGCTATTCCTGCCAAGTATCCCAGTGCCTCTCCCAGTAATACCCTGGTGTCCTCAGCTCCTGCAAAGGGCTCTCAGCTGTTTCTCCACTGTCCCCTTCCCTCGCAGGGCAGCACTGCCAGCTCCAAGCACCAGGTTTGTCTTTCCCAAAGGTCCATGCAAGGCTACTGGAATGCAGGAGGCTGGTGACCCTGCTTACTAGTCAACCAGCTGCTGCTGAGCAAGCAAAGAACTGACTTCTGCAGGCTGACTTCTCCCCTCCTATCACCCCTCATACCAACAGATTTTCTCCACTGTCCATCTGCAGATTTTCCCATGAATGACAGGAACTTCAAGCCACCAAAGTGGGTTTAGATTTACTAACATTTCA